AAACAGGTAAACATTTTTTCAGGAGCTCTCAGCATCCCTCTAGTTAGAATGGGACACCCATTCGTGTCTGTTTAGGAGCAGTGCATGTTTAGGAGTCCCCATTTGAAAAAGGTAACTCTGGAAGACAGGTCATTGCTCTTGACTCCCTGCTACGATGGTTAGATACGCTGAAGGTTAGAAAGGCTCAGAGCCTCTAACATCACCAACTCTAACCCCAAATGTTGCCTGGTTCTGAGTGGATTAATTCAGAGCCGTATGTCACCTAAAAGTTCCTGAAGATGGTCTTGCCCCTCACTGGCTCACTGACAAAACATATAATTATCACATTGACTATCAACACTTGTTTGGCAAGTCCCTGGAAAACAAAGCCAAATGTACTTTTTGTTTGAGGCAGAGGGTCCTGACTGAGATATTTAGATGGAGACAAAGCATCCCCTGAGCATCACAGAGGTTTTGAATGTGAGCAAATCCATGTCTCTGAATGGACCTGTCTGTTGCCCAGACCCTTGGTACATTAAGGTATGAAGACAACCCTGTACTAAGTATCATTTGTTCAAAGTTTAATGAGGAGAGGACTTCTCTGTGTACCATAGACATCTGAGGCACCATGTACCAGGTAGCTACAAGGCTGTGGTTTTCAGTCAACTTTGTGCACAATGTTTTGTGAGAGACTGTAAATGCTAAGATGTTTTCACTGATCTTAAAAGATGACCTAGAAGCTGATTTAATTGACCTGTTACTGTCTAGGATCTCTCCTCTGGGAAGTAGAAAGCTCTTGCTAATACGATGTATAACAGCAAAAACCATAACCAAGTGTTTCAAATCAATGTTGCCACTTTTGTAAGTCTGAGAACTATTGATCATATAGTTTTAGACCTGTGTGAACTGAATCAATCATCTACTGTGGTACTACACTTCAGTCCTTTACCTTCTGAGACAGGCTGTCACGATGGCTACTTTTTCTGGGAGGAGGCAGGGGGAACACAAATCCAACAGAAAATTCCTGCTTGGTTCACAAGAAAGACTGAAGGGTAGCACTTGGTAATGTAGTCCAGTGTCCCTATGAGGAATCTAATGTCTTTTCTCTGCTGCATGGACCTCTATGTAAAAACAGACATCTTGCAGGCTGGCAGTTCAAAATCCCCAAGGATTAGCGATTGGTTAGGAGATTACGGATACTACTCCAGCCTGAATTTGAAATAGCAAATGAAAGTGCTGAGGCACTGATAGTTGACACTGAACTCCCCTCACCCTTTTTGTAAAGTTGTAGATACAGAAGGCTCTGTCACCCATTAGTAACGGCACATTTGCTTCTGCAATCAGTAGTAGAAAGGAATCTATTTGTGGTGTTCATTGTTTCTCATAAGCCGGATAGCTTGTTAGAGAATGAGAGAGAGAAAAGCCACGAGACCAACAAGTCACTCAGCACTATGTACGACACAGTACTGAAAATACAAAGACGATCACTACTATCGGGGCTATAAATACATAAGGCACTCAACACAAAGCCAGTCACTATTAAGGTCCCTGCAGGGAGCATGCAAGTAATAAAACAGGTCTTTTCAGGCCCTGGACTTTAAAACACATGAATCAAAGACAAGCCATATTGCTGATGAATCTTTTATCCTTTGCTACGTGTACGGGCAGCAACTTGTGCTGGGAATCACACTCCTCTTGCCTCCATCAGACTTCCCTGCGAATATAGGTGGACCCTGGTAATGGGTATATCCCACAAGCTCAGAATCACAGCTTTTAGGACACTGAATAAGAGACGCTGTCTTAAATCATAACTATAGCTTTACTTGTGGAATGTAGAAATAAATTGATTTCTGTTTGTAGGAAGCCTTTTCCCTCCCCTGCTGTATGTTTCCTCTTGGAAAAAGGAAATATTACTATGGGATATGTTGCACTCTGAAGAATCGCACTAGGGAAAATCTTAAACCCCCGTCACTTATGAGTCCTTTATCCATATATAAAGAGATATATCTAGTATGTTAACTCAAATTGTATTTTACTAATGGTCATAAGGAGACTTAATTTACTGCATGAAATGAATTATACTATTACATATAAAGTTAAATGAATCGCACAGTACGTATACTGTATTATTTCCATCTTTGTGATATGATGGAAATAATGAAGTCATAAATGTTTGTGTTCACATCGCTATTTAATGCCCTGAGGACAGTGGACATGAGGGTGCTTCAAGTAGTAGTCTGCTGATACCGTCTAATGGACTCTGCTTGCCCAAATAATTTGTCCTTGCTTTCATGGGGCACATACACACCAGCCATGGAATCCACCTACACAACCACTCAAAGAAGTAGCCAAAAGCATCCCAGAGGAGTTATTCATGCTCTTTATAACAATTGGGCAATCAAAGTAACTCTCTATGCTTTGGCCAACTTAGAAGGAAAACTGGGCTATACAAATTAACACACACACAAACTGCATTAAGAAAGCAACCATCTCTTTACACAGTTACTGTACATCACGATATTAGTCTGGAGAGCCCAAAACTACATACAAACACACTTTCTAGTACTCCAGAGAAAATATTTTCTTAATTCTGACATTTTATTTATTTCTCAATATTGGCCAAAAAACTTCCATACTCTTAAATGTTAACACTTATACTTTCCAACCTATATCCAACCATAGGATTGTGTTTCTGAAGTACAGTTTCTACTATTTTGTCCAGTCCAATCGCAGTTAAATAAGGAGATTACCACCACTTTAAAACATTATTAAATCTCCTAAAATAGAACAACTCGGAATAACTGCACACCATGTTTTCCAACTCCACCTCCAATTATACATTCTCCCGCCAAATTAAATAAATAGTATATCATTCCAGTTTCCTTGTATATGGTTGTTTACCTCACCTGATCAACCCGCATATATTCTTCTTCCTAACCACCCTTTGATTATTCTTACTGTTTATGAATGTCCTTATTTAATCTGTCAGTAATATTTTCAAAATTATTAAATTATTAATTCATTGGCATCCTTGAAAATGGGGGTTAGATCCTTCCATATTACTAGCTCTACATTTTTCTGAGTATCATACTATCCAAAATAGACAGAGGCACTTTGCTGAGGGTTGATTTATGTAGTAGCTGCATTGGGCCTCTGAAGATGTGGAGGTCAAACCCCATGCACCAGTACAGGCTGGGGGCTGACCTGCTGGAAAGCAGCTCTGCTGAGAGGGACCTGGGAGTCCTGGTAGACGACAAGCTGACCATGAGCCAGCAATGTGCCCTTGTTGCCAAGAAGGCCAATGGTATCCTGGGGTGTATTAAGAGGAGTGTGGCCAGCAGGTCGAGGGAGGTTATCCTCCCCCTCTACTCTGCCCTGGTGAGACCCCACCTGGAGTACTGTGTCCAGTTCTGGGCTCCCCAGTTCAAGAAAGATGAGGAACTCCTAGAAAGAGTCCAGAGGAGGGCAACTAGGATGATAAAGGGACTGGAGCACCTCCCCTATGAGGAAAGGCTGAGAGAGTTGGGCTTGTTCAGCCTGAAGAAGAGAAGACTGAGAGGGGGCCTTATCAACACATACAAATATCTTAAGGGCGGAAGTCATGAGGATGGAAGCAGTCTGTTTGCAGTGGTGTCCAGTGACAGGACTAGGGGCAATGGGTGCAAACTGAAACATAAGAGGTTTCAGTTGAATATGAGGAAAAACTTCTTTACTCTAAGGGTGATAGAGCGCTGGAACAGGCTGCCCAGGGAGGTTGTGGAGTCTCCTTCTCTGGAGATATTCAAAGCCCACCTGGATGAAGTCCTGTGTAGAATGCTCTAGGAGAGCCTGCTTTAGCAAGGGGGTTGGACTAGATGATCTCCCGAGGTCCCTTCCAACCCTTGCGATTCTGTGATGTGCAGGTAAACTAAATTTCTCATCATAATAAATCCCCTCTGGTTAAGTAAGTATTTTCTTTAGTCAGCAAAAAATATTTTTAAACTGTGCAATAAAATATTAAATGGGAAAACTGAAAATATAGTTTGCATTTCATAACTTCAAACTATAAATACAAATGCAAATGTTCAATTACAATAATTATGAAATTAATACACATGTTGGAAAGCAAGTTCTGACAAGTAAAGCCAGACAACCTTAGATTTCAACTGTAAGTAAAAGGAGCCTTAGTAGGTTTTTCATTTTTCTCAATCTGTTCAATTCATTAAGGCATCTTACAATTTAGAACCATTATTCTCTCTTCACAAAACATCTTGGATCATATGCTATTTCTTTGACTTTCATGAGAAGTCAAGTCACTCAACTTTCAGAGGCCTTTTTAAAGCAGTATTTCACTTCTATCCAGGGATTATATTTTCCTATCCGTGTGAGTTAAACATTCTAAAGGTACTCGCTAGTCATGTTCCTCCAAAAGCTTATCTGACCTATACTCTCTTTCTTCGATATAAACTGTATTAATATAAAGGTGCGGTGATTCATAGTCTTGAATAGTTCTACACAAGTTGACAACAATCTTTCTCCAGATTGACTTGTATTATAAAGCTTTTAAGACTCTGGTGGTCTCTTAATTCTCACATAGTGTAAGTAGAGGTCTCCTACTTTAAAAAAAAAAACAACAAACCAAAACAAGGTAAATCTAGATGATTCAAGTGCAGTGTTAAACAGAAAAGTTATACTGGAACCCCTTAGTTCTATACCAAGATAACAAGACAGAGCGAGCTACAAAAGTGAAGGGGTGTTACTTCTCTTACTTAGATATTCCTCTCTGGGAGGTTAAAGCCACTTGATTCTCTGTACACTATTCACATTTTTAATACAGCTGCTTCTAATAACTGAAACATTTCTAACACAATTTCAGGGAAGAAGGTACAATAAAATGTCCATTTGCAAAAGTTCACAGCCCTTCCTGTCGCAGACCCAATGCAAGAAAAACAACTGGAAGATAAACACTTTAATTTGAAGACTTTAATTACTGTTTGGTATGAACACACAAGTCCTTAAGCAGCTAACATATTTTCACAGTAATATAAACGTTTATCTCATTATCTTTCAAATTGAATTTCTTAGAAAGAACAGATATACTAGCCAGTATTCTGAATAGACTGAATTCTGTCAGTATCCTGAATAGGCAAATGATCTTCATTCCTTCAATATCTTTGCTCTCTTATGTTATGATGTATTTTATGCTCTAACAAAAGCATATACACGAATGCATCACATTATAATCAAGGCCATGAATGTTGGTAACATGAACTATGCATATTCTTTAATGTTGTTTTTGAGTACAGGAAAATAAAATATCTTGAGGTTTGGAGCAGAAATACAAGTGATACTTTCTAATATCACTAACTAATTTCACTTTAGGGTTCCATTATCACAGCAGAGATACTAGGTTTCATTTTTATTACTAACAGGCTTTACTTATCACAGTAAAAATAGGCTGCTAACCACAGAAAGTAAAATTCATCATCAAAGTTCTGGTTTTGTTTAGGAATCAGACTTTTTCAGATATTCTGTCAAATAACAAACCCGAGTTATCTACATGTGACTTAAAAGAAACTACATGTGTTTTGAATGCAGAATATTTCCCCGTAATATCTGCAAAGCTATACATACCTGGAGAGCATGTGCTAGATAGAATTAGAAGCCAAGGAAAAAGGGTATCGACAATGCTGAAACCATCTTCCTGCCCGGAGGGTCAAGTAGTATAACCAGAGTAATAGTACTGCTTGCATGAATAGGTAAAACGCTTTATCCTTATTGACAATCTGTAAATAGAAATTATATGTATATGAACTTTAAAATCAAAATAGGTGAAAATTAAAATACAGAAAGGCACACAAAATACAAGGATACATCTACTGACAAAAATGATACCTGCATTTTTGATGATTTATCATATGTTCAGACTATCCAATTTCATCTCCATATTCTGAATTTATTTTTCAAATTCCTTCTTAATATTCAGGATTATGTTTTGAGTGGAGTGAACAATTATGAAAGAAGACAGATGCAAGAGCATTGTGATGGCAGAAACTTTTTGTCTAATCTGTTCTAAATTGCCAGTGAGGAAGATGCTCCAGTATCGCCAGATAGCCTGGTTCCAGTCTTTAACTGTCCTTGTACTTAGAAGCATTTTCCAAATATGGAGCCTGTTTTCTTCACTACAAATTAAGATAACTTTTTTCTTGTCCTTCCACAACTGGGTACAAAAGACAATTGATGACCATCTTCTTCACAATAATCTTCAATGTCAGATTATTTTCCCCAGTCTTCTCTTCTCTAGACTAAACAAATACAACTCTTTCAAAATGTGCCTTACAAATCTTGCTTTCCAAAAAGCTTTTCACTTATGTACTCTCCTATGGATTCATCTTTACCTGGACATCAAAATAATTTTCCTTTTCCAGATTTTATTTTAACACAGAGATACAACAATTTTATTCACTGGCTTTTATTCTGGCCACTTTGCATGAGTGTTCTTTGATTTTGCTTCATCTGTAAGACTAGGTAGTTGTCAATACTACTTGGAATTTTGTGGTACTCTAGAGCAGCAGGCCCCATGGAGCCTTGAAACAAAATGCATCTGTCCAGCTCTTCAGTACCTTTTTTGGAAATCAGTAATGATGCTTAATTTTCATTGAATAATTCACTTGTTCTTATTTGCTTCCTTTTCTTCAAAGAACTGGATAAACCAGGTATTTTGTATGCCTTCTACTTAGTAATACTATAACTTTCATTTTTATATTTAACAGCTAAAACAATAATTATAATAATCTTAATAAATAAGCAGACAGATAGATGGATGGACAGGCTGGATTCTTTGAGAATCAAGCATAATAGAAGGAAGACTTGACTCAAAGCCTGTATCTCTCTCTATTGCCTCAAAATAGATAATGTCGGCTGAAATGGAGGCAGAAGGATGTTGCTAGTTGAGGTATACTATGGGTCTCTTTTTAATGATTACACAATTATTAGTTCGTGGTAAAAGTATGTCACGTTCTGCATTGTTTTCAATGAGCTTTGTCTGAATAAAACAGAAATATTCCAGGCCAAGAAAAGTAAAACAAAGGATGTAAGATAATAACAGACCAAAGAAGTGCTCTAAATGCTGCAGTGGCTGGCTGTCTTCACATTTATTTCCAGATGCCTGCCTCTGGAGAATCTAGTCTCTTTACTTTTTTTAACCAGAGATAGTTTATCCCAGGAATCTCCAAATTATTTCGTTGGAAAGAAGGGGAGGGAAAAAAAAGTTAAAACCCGTGCAGTGTTTTATGACATCTAGACCAGATTTTCTGCTTCTCTGTTTCTGCTTCTCTGTTTCTGCTTCTTTGCTCTACTTCACTTGTACAGACTATGCAACTCTACCACAATCACATATGAAAGTTCTTCTAAGAAGTGGTTTCTATGGTTTGGTTTGCTTTTTAATATTCATACAGTTTATTCATAGGGTACTTTCATAATGAATTCCTGAAATTTAGTAGTTGTTCTTTGTAATCTAGTTAATCTATCCAACTGCAAAACACCCAAATCCCATGATAGCTAGGTGTGCTCTCAATATACTAAATGAGTAAATAGGCTTAAGGGCTCCCAGCAGCCTTAGGCTCCGGCTCAGAGCCACTCACTCCCCATCTCCGGAAAAGCCTTTTTACAATTCCTCTACCCTTCAGCCAAAATTCTGATGTAGTCATCTCCTCCTTGCCATACTCCAATGTAGCTTCCAGCAGCTCCTACAAGCTATGTACCTCCACTTCCCTGGGAAACAGAGAGAGGCAACCTCCCAACAAGTGACTATTTAAGCAGGAGTGATGGGCACAGAATATAATTGCAATGAAGAGAGAAGCAGTTTATGAACACTTCTCTGGCAGACAGTCGTACCTGCACTATCATCTGCCATAACATTTTTCAGAATCTCTTTTCACAGAAGTCTTAAACCAACTTTTTTCCACAAAACAGGAACTACCAGTTCAGCAGTTCAGACATTAGGTTTAGCATATGCAATGTATCCAGAGAGAAGTGGACAACTTCAAATATTTTGTTTGGCTGTTTCATGTCATTTTCTAAAACTATGCCCGAGGGGATCATACTACTAGAATTTTATATCATGTACTTGCATTTCAAAATTACAAGGTCATTATAAGAAAGAGCACTTTTCAGCTATCTATGTAATATAAGTGACAGATTTGTTTTATGTTTTTCTCCATCTATGCGTCTACAATTCTACTTTCTTCTATTTTTCATTGATGTTATCTTGCTTTTTTACATGTAGTTTCTATTATTTGCAAGAACATAACTCTACTGAAGCCAAAGCAAGACAAAGGTACAGAATTGTACATTCCTATTACAGAAGTGATTTTTGCTAACAGAGTTCCCCACTGTGTTGCACAAACAGTTGATGGCAATGCAGTAAAGCCAGAATAGCTAGTTAGTTCCTCCAGAAAAGCTGCCCGCGTTCCTGCAGGACTGCTTCTCCAAATAAATTATGCTACTTAATCTATAGGTAAATTTATTGCTGAATAGCTGTTATGATGGTCTATTTGCTTCTCAGTCTTCCATTAAGAATAATTTCCTATTGAGAATTGTTTCCAAACACCCACTCCCAACCTTCCTTCTCAACTTCTGCCCACTTTCCTTTGATCTAAAGCATTCTAAAATTTTGCCCGATTTATTTATTTATGTCCTTTATATACTGACTAAATTTAAAATTAGTCAGTATTGTATATATAAAAATTTTAATCACCTCAAATCACTTCGTTTGTGGATTACATGCATTTAGTAAATTTAGCATGTTTTCATGAGAGTGGTTACCTTGTTTTGCATTTATCTATTTTCTTCTAAACTACGCGTGACACCACACCAAAATGCCTTGAGCATTATAGGTGTGGTTATAACAGCACTGTGTAGAACAGATACATAGCTCCTTAATTTTATATTTTTATATGTAACATACAAACAAAAATAGTGACAGCTTTCTTTGCATAAACCCAATGGCATTGTGATATCTGTCTTGAGTTTACCACACTTTAGACAGCTATTTCAATCATTGATTTTGCAAAGTAAAGTAGGAGGTAGAGATCCTCTGCACTCACCAGAGGAGCTGACCCCCTTTCAGAATCTGCATATAGTTTTTATTTGAGCAGTTTATTTCCTCTCTTTACCTCTGAGTAACTTAAAAGACAATATTCAACTAATGCATTATGTTCCAGTATTGTCTGACTCACCACATTTTCCCTTCCCTTTTTATTTTCTGTCTTCAGACTTAAAGCAGTTAATCCCAGGTCACAAAGTAGTCTATGAATTTAATTTTATTTCCCCTTTTTGTGCATCCTGCATACAGTTTTCTATAACATGAACAATTAGAAATGATTGTGAAAATAACTGGTGACCTCACCAGGTCAAAATATGATCTGGAACCTAATAGTAATTACATCACATACTGGAAAACTGTCAAAGTAATACAGAGATTATGTTAACACCTAGATATTATTGCATATCCCTTTTTGAAATCTGTATAAATATTCAGTAAAGCATTTACCCCATCATGTGCATGATGAGGTCACTATTTTATAGTGTGCCCACTTCACCATCGGGTCCTTCTCAAAAATCTCAGAATAAAACACCATAAGCAAATGCATTATAATTCAGGCTTTTATCCTATAAAGAGGTCCACATAGGTGGGACCCAAACTGCATTTTAATAATGAACTAAAACTATTTACCCAGATGGTCATACACTGACATTTTTATTGTAACCTTGCTTATTTTGAAAAGAATATTCACTCATCTAACTGGCTTTCCAGTTTCCACTTAAAAATACTTCCACAGCAGATAAGTACTCTTTTGCCTTTTATTGTCCTCCTCTGACTTTCTTAATTTACCTATCTTCCAGATTTTCTATGCTTTCTTTCCTTAAGTCACATACTACATCCAAATTTATACATTCATTGACATTTCTGTTCAAGAAACAGTAGTTTGAAAGATACCTACAGATTATTTGTTTTCATGCCATTGTGATGTTAATTTAGAGCAGGCAATTACAGTTGTAATTATTGCCAACTGGATGTAGTTCATAAGGTTACACCTGTTTTACAGAGCTCAACAGGGCCCAGGCACACGCTTGAGCTCTACCATGTGATAATCTGTGCCATTCAGCTGTCAGCGTGTTCTTTGGTGTGCTTTTGGCTTAGGCCAGCGAGCACGCAGGTAAGATGGCACACGCTTGAGCTCTACCATGTGATAATCTGCCATTCAGCTGTCAGTGTGTTCTTTGGTGTGCTTTTGGCTTAGGCCAGAGAGCACGCAGGTAAGACGCAGCAAGATTGGGGGAATAGCATGGGTTAGGGACAGTTCTTAGTAGGCAGTATGAACGAGGCCACCCTTCTTCAGGAGAGCAGGTGGGTTAGCCACGTGAATGTGAACTGTAATTTGCTACCAACTCTTCATTGGGCTGTGGGCCATTTTGTTTTCTAGTACAGATGTCACCTAAGACATTAAATGCAGCTGAAAATTGGTAGAGAATAGGCGTACCTTCTCATGTTCCCATTGCCAAACCTCTGCGAAGGATGAGAGCTGTTGGCATGGGAGAGAGATAGACCAGTGTTAGGCTGACTGTGACTTCCCCATGGCAGGAGATTTTTCAGCCTGTGAGTAGGAATGGATGGATCTTCGCTACCTTGTGCTAACTCCAGTGGGCAAAACGGGGGTGCAGAATCTGGACACCTTCCTGTTTTCAGATACTTTTC